TCGCCCCTATTACCAACTCTTTCAACTCACGATGAATATAACACCTTCAGCCGGACAAAATACGCATTTATTCATCTCCAGCCCTTGGGTTCCATTCCAGTCCATTGAATGTTGTACGCCACTCACAGTGTATGGCCATTTCTGATTGAGAAAACATCGAAGAGTGGACCCAAACAGAGCCCGGAGCACCAGAGTCCTGCAATGTTATGCCTCGGTAAAAAGGATGGGGCAACGATCAATATGCACTTGGTGCCCGCGCCATTCATACAGCACCCAGGAGAGCACAAAGGGGCGATGTTTTACAGGCACTGTCTTCAAGTACCAATGTTGCGATGTGTTTTCTTTACCGATTAGGTCATTTGTGGACAAATTTTGAAATTTGCCAAACTTGGCCCGGCAGGGCCACACAGCCCAACTTGGAATTCCAATCAATTTCATGAGCTCGTAAGTTGGACAGCGGATCATGAATCCACAGCTGTTGATTGGCCAACGCGGAAAATATTTCACTGCATGTGGCCCATAACCCCCCTACCTATACTTCAAATCATGATCAAGGCTGTACAAGAGCTGTTACTGAATGTAGAACAGCACGTTTGCTTCATGCAAGAGGCAAGCCCAAGACACAGAGGCTGGGTGTGTTGCTACTAGAGAAGAGCCGATGTAAAGTGGCTCCCAGGAGCAGTCACGATCTTGTTGCCAGCCTCAGAAACGACGGAGGACTTCTCAATGCAGCTTCTTCTCCTGTTCACAATGCCAGCTCAATGTCTTCTTCATCCAATCATCTGAAACGCGTCCACAACCCACTTCTCGCTTTGCCACCGGCCTCAATTTATACAAAAACCCACGACCAATAAAACAAAATGGGGGTTTAGTCAGTGGGAAGCCATGGAAAATTAGCATCATTATCGGAAGGCACAGGCAACTGATAAATACAAGAATTGACAACCATGTCAATCCACTGCTGGATGGCCTCCACACAGTGTTCATCGCGTTTGACCATACTTCACCAACCTGGTCAGTGTGGCCCAGGAATAGTCAGATATCACTCGCCACTGACGTTAGCCATGGGTTGGGAATCAAACTCAATTTGCCAGGTTCGTGGCCTGGAGCAAATGCCGTATAGTGAGTCAACCTTTGAAAAATGGCGAGTAGCTTCCTGAAATGTAACCGTTAACTAAACTGATTAGATGAGGGCAGGTTTTTTGTGTTGTGTCCTTTCTTTAAAGGTATTGTTCTAGGCAAGGTGTGGGAAACAGTAAGGTTGTCAACAAAGCACTTCAGTGGGTTTTTTTTTTCCGACTAAGCCAAGCAAGTGCTTGTCGCTATAAACCTGCTTGTTGTGAGCAACGGGTGACTACGACAGGGTTTCACCAAGAGTGTAAACTGGCGATGTATTTCCTGCAACCTGCACAGTCTGCCGCACGAGCCAGGGTTCACTTTACCTCTGCTCTAGTGAGTGGCGCTGCAATTTAGTATGCTGCGAGGGTATCTGGCGCGTGTGCATCGGTGCTGCTGTACTGCTCCAGCGGGTAGTGGTACAGCGATGGCTGCATATAAGGCAGACCAAGATATGGTTGCCTCCCCTGATGTACACACACACACACAAACACTAAAAAAACCAAGCAGGTCAAACCATTGGAAGACGAATATCTCACGAGACCCAAAGCGGGCTGAATTACAATACTCTCTGGTCCTATTGGGTAAAGTCACGTAGGTAAAAACCAGAGAGTATGGATCCTTGCAGTCAAGAAAGCTTGAAAACTAGAATTGAATTACAATACATGCAAGCGCGTTGTCTGGAGTGGCTCGTTATCTCACAACTGATCATAAAAAGACCCCGGGGAACGGACAATGTCCCACGAAGCTGTCCCAGGACAGCTACCGTATCAAAGACAGAAAACGAGGACAGGTTGGCAAACCCTAGACCTCGTGCGGCGGGGGTTAACATTAGCAGGTTGGCACCGCCATTCGGCGACTTCGACTCTCAATTATTGCATGGCACGCTACGATAGGGCCCATGCCCAGCCACGTCTGTATTTGTGCACTGCTCCAACCGGACCGTCCGTGGCTGGCGCTCTGCTACGAAGTGGTTTAAACTGGTCCGTGGCATTGTCTTCGCACATCACTACCACCACCACAATCACTAACCAACCAGCCACAGCGAGGCTTGTAGAAGTCACGTGAACCGGCTTAGAGCCATTGTGATTTTGTTGTTGTTGTTTGGAGTGGCTCGGAAGCGTATCCTGCCTGCCCTTTGGGGGATGATGCTTGTGCTATTATAGACGCATGCATACATACAACACACGTGTAAAGTGCGGGCAGTTAACAGGAACAATGCATGGCATACCAATGATAACACTGTACTCTTTATTATATTTAAAACAATAATAATGGTACATTTAATTAAAGATGAAAAACAATACACAATGACTCCTTTCCATTGGTACAGCACTGCATGTGTGTGCAAGACCAGCGTATGTCATACGAACAACACCCATGCAACCACCGACCGATGAAGGATGTACATAATTAGGAACATTAGCAACAACACCAAGTCGTAGCATATCCAATACGTGAAATTCACGCGTGTGAGCAACAGTGGAGTGGAAACGTGCGGATAGGTTGTGCCAATGTGTTTCAAATATATCTCTCTCGGGCGTTATGCATCCCAAACTTCAAGGTCAGACCGAAACAAGTTACATCAATAATTGCAACGTGGTCACAAGTACAGTACTGCAATGATGTGTGTGTGTGTGCACGTTCGAGACCGCATTAACCCATTTAAAGCAAAAACCACATAGCATGTTGTCACCCAGGCTAGATTGTGTTCTGGTAAGTTTTAACCGGGATCTACAATGCAACAATTGTCAGGGTGGGGTGAAAACCAAAAACAAAGAGAGACAGTGCCATCTTGCAAAACGCACGCGTAATTATTATAAAGACACAAATTTGTAAAATTGTGGAATTCGATGACAATGGCAAGTGACGTTGCTGAACATAAATCACATTGTGAAGGCAGCATCCTTATCCGCCACGTACACACAAACACGCTGTGACAATGCGCATTCGGCGAGTTTAAAAGGAGGCACTTCTGGGCATGACCGACGCATAATTTGTGTGTGTGAATATTCACGTCGCGTGCGCATCACCATTATCACCACCACCACCACACCATTACCATCATCGCAACACCAGCGGCAGCAGAAAAGTATTTGCTGATGCAGCCCGTGCATTACGATTCCATACCTGTCAACCCCCCTTATCCAGTGCCCCTACCTTATTACAGAACAATCCAGACCTTATTGGTCACCCCGTGCCCCTCATACATCTCAACGTTCATCCTACAAAGTCCCATCACAAGGGAGAAACACAGAGGGGGGGTAAAAAAAAGAAATCGCTCGATTTCCATGTACAAGAATACGGGCTAAACCGTGTGGGTTGACAGGTAAGCGATTCAAGGCAGTGATGTGCTCTGCTTTCAATGTCAAACGGAGTTGTCGCACAGTGACACCCACCAACCCACCCCACACCCACCACTCCCGCATGAACAATCGAGGCAATGGCAAGGTGGATCGTGGTCTAAAAGATCCCGCGACCCACCGACCGTGTTGTGATGAAGCCAAAACTCCGGAATGCTAGTTTCATCCTTTATTCAGCTACCGGGCGGGGTTTCATTTTAAATTTGCGTGCGATCGTAACGGCTGGCCGCCTCCTCCTTCTCCCTTATATATTGTCAACTCAACACCTTATAACATATATAACATACATGACCCAATGCTGCACGTACTCTCGTATGGCGTTACGTACTGCACACACACACATCGCATGATGCATACATATCGCGTAGTAAACACACACAAGCACTCTCTTGTGCACAACGCACAACGTGTATTCACTCAACATTGCATTGCACTAATCTGCTGCAGCGACCCGTATACTCGAATCTTGACGGACAATGTAATCATGCCCTCTGTATGCAGTGCACGTGTGAATAGGGAGTCTAGAAAGGTGTTTGTTTTTTGTGTATGCTGCATCATGTGTGGGTGCTTTTTAAACAGACAGGCAGACATCATACGAGACTGTCAACAGACTTTTGTTCGACGGCCTATATATTGGAAGTATGCTGGTGGCAGTGATGGTTGTGGTTATAAATAGGCATGGCTGTGGTGATAGTGGTTATGATCGCGGTAATGGAAATGTAGATGGAACTTTACTACCGCTAGATGCATATAAATACCTCCCCCCCCCATATCGCCGTAAGCAGACTTTTGGCGCAAGTGCTGTTAGCAAGCACCTATGAATGCCGTCAATGCACCACCACTATTACCAACACCACCACTTAAATCACAACTACCACCATCATCACCACCAATACCACATCACGACTGCCATGATCATCACCACCATTATTACCACCATCATCTTCCAACAATATGGCCATCATCATGACCGTTATAACCACTATCATAACCACCAACACATTACTATGAATACCACCATCAACGAGCCGCAATAATCACCAACACGACCCTCAATTACCATAACTATCAAACATTATCACCTTCACATCGCACCAACACCATATTCGACATCAACAAATCACAACATCCACCAAGTCGCCGTCACCATCAACAACAACCGCACGACAATCATTAACCACCATTAATACCACCACCATCATCACCTGCAACAGTCAACATCATCAGCAATATCTTGGAAAGAAAATCATCACCACGACCACCACCATCACCACCAACAGCAAGTCAACATCATCATCATCAGCAGCACCATCTTGGAAAAAATCATCATCACGATCATCATCACGTCAACATTATCATTAGCAGCACCATCTTGGAAAGAAAAAACACATCACCACGACCACCATCATCCTCATCCTCACCAACAGTCAACCACATCAGCAGCAGCACCATTTTGGAAAGAAAAAAAATCACCACCACGACCACCATCATCATCATCACAAAGGCGGGCGGGCGACCTGCCTGGAAGATGGAGGCCTTGGGCAGGTCGAGGCACACGGTGCAGCACAGCACGGAGTAGAGCCTCTCCTCCAGCTTGTTGCTGTTCGCGCCGCCAACACCACCACCAGCACCACCACCGCTGCCCCCCTGGCGGCCCGGCTCGTCCAGACGGGGCCGCTTCTTCACGGGCTCCTCCGCCGGGGCCACCCCGGGCGAGCCGGGCCCGGCCTCGGCCTCGGCGTCCCTCGCTTCAGCCTGAGCCATCATCGCTGCCCCCCCACCGCGCCCCGGGTGACTGGGCTCCCCCCCTGCCTGCCTGCCTGCCTCCTCCTACTACTCCTCTTGATTCCACCGTCTCCCTCGATTCCCTTGCCTGCCCCCTTCCCCTTGACTACTCTCTGCCTCCCTGTGTCTCCTCGTCTGCCTGTGTCTCCTTGTTCCACCGTCTCCTTATCTGCCTCCTTGTCTGCCTGTCCCAGTATCTGTCTCACCGTCTCCTTGTCTGCCTGTCCCAGTATTTCTGTCTCACCGTCTCCTTGTCTGCCTGTCCCAGTATCTCTGTCTCACCGTCTCCTTGTCTGCCTCCTTGTCTGCCTGTCCCAGTATCTCTGTCTCACCGTCTCCTTGTCTGCCTGTCCCAGTATCTCTGTCTCACCGTCTCCTTGTCTGTCTCCGTGTCTGCCTGTCCCAGTATCTCTGTCTCACCGTCTCCTTATCTGCCTTCTTGTCTGCCTGTCCCAGTATCTCTGTCTCACCGTCTCCCTGTCCCAGTATCTCTGTCTCACCGTCTCCTTGTCTGCCTGTCCCAGTATCTCTGTCTCTCCGTGTCTCCCTCTGTCTCTTTGTTTCCTTATCCCCCTGGAGATTCTGCACCAGACACACTGTGTGTGTGCTGTACGAGCTGTACTGGTTTCTCCTGCAGTCCGTAGTCTATACAACAATGTTGTAAACACCACGTATGTAGTGTGCGTGGAGTCAGTAACCTATGTTCTGTGTATTACAATATTACTTTCATATAGCCTACGAAGTACATTAAATATGTATTGTATATACTGCAGTACAGTCTATGCACTGTATGTAAACTGTGTATACTGTAGTTTATAAGCTAAGGTGTATTGCTTGTGTACAGTCTATTATATAACCTGCATTGTCTGTAGTAATCGTGTTATTGTGTATTCTAAGTGCTGTACGTAACAGCACTAGACTGTGTATTCTATACTATGTATGCTTTGTTCTCTAAAGCTGTTAATTATTTATAGTTTAAATGCTAGATACCCATCGCTGTACTGTATATTCTATGTGCTGTACATGCAGCTGTTTATTTTTAAATGTATTGTTACTGTACGGTATTATCCTTAATGGTAATTACTGCACTGCATTGTTAAAGTTACACGTTCTACAGCGCTGCAGCTACGATAACAATACGTGTCGCCGCCGTTGTTTGTACAACTGACGTATTTATATTTTTGAGCATATGTTATTATCTCCCGTGAATATGTATCGGCTACTACCGTTATTAGTTATAATTATAGTTTGTATTGAATTGAGCTTCTATTGTACTGTATCGTGTGCGACCCTAAACCACCACCGCCTGACAAACCCCCTTCCTTCTTCACGGCCTATTGAGAATCAAGTTTTTCTTACGATGCCCTCCCCCTGTTGAGCTACGGTTAAATTGATACACATGTTTAAAAGCAGAATGTGTACTTTATATCGTTGAGTGTTATTAGTAGTATAGTAGTAAATAAGAGGTTTGTTGCGATGATGATGGTGATGAGGGCTCCTGTGTTGACGTTTGTTCGCTTAATCTGCAGTGACGCAACAAGTGGGCGCCACGGGAGGGGCGGGGCAGCAAAAAGAGGCGGGGCCACGATGTGACCCCCCCCCCGCCCCTTCAGGAAGGGGCGGGGGGGGGATCACATTCACCAACCCCTTGAACCAATCGCAAGGCGCCTCGCGACCACCGCGCGCGCGCGACAACCAATGGGGGCACGCGCGAGGCTGGGCTAATGGCCCGCCCCCCTCCGCCCCCGCCTCCCTCTTCTACCCCGCCCTCTGCTCCCGTTGACAACCGCCACGCATGCGCAATGCGATGTTTACGTCGAACAGCTGACTCGGGATCACGTGGCAGGGCAGCGGTGGGGGGAGTTTAAATGCCTCCGCTCAGGGTCCCGGCTGCCACAAGAGAGGTTTTTTTTTACCTCCGCCTGTGATGGGGACTCGTTTTGGACTCGAAATGCAGTCACTTATAACACCACTGTGGCCTTAAAAGGATACATATATATACATTAAGTAGGCGACGTTTCGCGCAATGGCCCTTCATAGTGCAGATCATGAGCAACCCTTTCTGGCATCGCTGTGTGTGCTATTGCTCAAAACGTCGACTCAGGCCACAGTATTACAATTGAAGATCAGTGTTGGCTTGCTTCGTATTTCGGGGGAAATATATATTTAGGTCAAATTAAACCCGGCAGGTTTTATGTTTAAGCAAAGTCAGCATTTAGTTCCTGCTATAGCTATCTGCTCCTTCAACAACCCGCACGGGCCAGATTGGTGAACTATGGTCAAACAAAACCTCCCATTCGCCATCATGCTTGTGTGATGGTTTCGCACAATCGACGTGTAAGTCAGAGGCGCGGCGGTTGAAACAACGTGGCGATCGTAGCAAATTAATTCCCTGCGCCTCTTCACCCAGCAGTATCGAGTGAACGGGCCAAATTACGTTGGGACGGCATATCGTGTGGTGGGCGACTGCCACCTCATCACAGCAGATGGGAAGGGCCCCAGTATTCAACCACAACAAACGAACACGTGTAGAGTTGAGCTAACGTTGTGATGTGGTTGGGCCAAAGTTCCACGTTTTCTGCGGCGTTCGTCCTAGCTCTAATGCTTAATACGTGAACACGGTAATGCGTCAACACGCTTCATGGCTGTGAGCTGTATCCTACATCAGAGGGTCGGCCTTCATCCAGAAGTGGAGTGAGAATGGTGCATGAGCTTACATGGCTCGAACATAGCATACGCAGCAATGGGTGTTTTTTTTGTGTGGATGTCATTGTATTACGCACTGCACGTAACATTATTTGACGTCAACACATTAACATCTAATTTAAAACAGTACTTATGTGCAAGTGGGTTATGTAATCATGGATGTTTCTGCCCAACAACAACACTGTTGTGTTATATGTAAGCGTGTTTGACTACAAAGGATGACAATTATTCTAAACGGGTCGCACATATTGCAATTTAACTTACGGAATATTCTACACATAACGCAGAATATATGACCTCTTTTTTAACACAATTACTGCATTGTATAAACATGTGCAGTACTGTACAGCAGGAGCAATTTATGCCAAATGCAGTGAGGCAGTGATTCCTGATCTGGTGGTGGTTAGCAAAGCCATGGGAAGTGATTGGCGCAGATACTGCGGTTTATTATTGAACAAAACGTTGCATTTTACCGTACGGTTTATCGTGGTCCAAGACTTCGTCAAATTAAATGGTGGGAACCACTGTAGTAGGACATTACATAACTAATAATATATAAACACAATGACAAAGATCCCCCGTATAGCCTTAACACACTGTTAGGGTAAGTGCTGCTAGAGAGTAGCACCTTTGAAGGCCGTATATATACACACACTTGTATATTTACACATTACAAAATCGTCAATAATGCTGTGGCTTTAAAAGGATAAATATAGGTGACATTTTGGGTAATCGCCCTTGTGCATGGCACATGTGCTTTGAAGAAGGGCCTTCGTCCGAAACGTCTTATATATGTTTTTATTTTAAGGTTACAGTTTTATGGACGTGTTGAGTTTATGCTAGTTGTGCATCACTAACAACACGCCATACTAATGCGTGTAATTGTATACGCTTTAGTATCGGTCTCTTAGGTTCGTGAAATACACGTGTTTACTCTGCACTGCGAACCATAATCAGGCAATCATTATTATTACTACACGGCACAAGTATGATTCTGCAATTATAATCGCAGGTTATTGTAGTGTGAGAGCGGGGCAGCGATGTTGTGTTCATGGAGTCAAAGGAACTGTAAAGCTGCAGTGTGTCATCAGAATATCTATTTATACTGGAGGAATCCGATGAGCTCTATTAAGCTCTTTTTAACAGATGTCCAGTAAATGATAGTCGATGGGTATTGGCAGACACCAGATTGTACTGCGTCAAGGAGATCATGGAGAGAGAGATGTTTGGATAAACGGGAGAGGATAAATAACCACGCAACAATGTACATCACTGCTGTACCTCAAGTGTCAATAGCTGCACTGGTCATCCCTGTCGTGCATACAATAAACACGCAGCACACTGTCAGAGCCGAGGGTATGGAGCGGAGATGTCATGAGAACAACTTGACGTGAGATGATGGACACAATTAACTCGAGAGGGGAGCCCGAGAGAAGGGGGAAGAGAATCGGAGGGAGACGGCGGAAGAGGCGGCAGCAGCGGTGGGACCGACACAACAGAGCTCAGACGCCACGGCTGCAGGAGAGGAGCAACTCCCTAACAAACGGAGGGGATGGGAAGCAAATGGAGGGAGGCCTCTGGCCAGCAGTGGAACATTAGTTGCTGACAACAACAGCAAGAACAGCAGCAACACTCGTATAGCACGGGCCAGTGTGCACGTGACCACTTGAACGTGAGCGAAATTCCTCTTCATCGAATGCCACTTGTTCCTGTGAATCTCCACACCCTAGATCAGTGGTTCTTAACCTGGGTTCGATCGAACCCCAGGGGTTCGGCAGAGCCCCCGCCACGGAGGTCCGGACACACTTGAATTATTGTGTAAATTTGTGATGACACACACGGTCCGCTTGGCCATCACTGGCTGCAGATGATCATGCTACACTGCTTGGCCAATCAGCGCTGCGGGGAATTTAGTGCATACTCAGTAGTCAACGTGTGACTGTTGTCGTACGTCGTGTGATTTCTTTAATATTTTATCCATACTATGTCGGGCAAAAGAAGAAAGTGGTCAGACGAATATGTACAACATGGATTCTCATGTATCACGGGACGTGATGGGAGTGAGCGTCCTATCTGCATGATTTGCAACGCCAAGTTGAGCAACTCTAGTCTTGCACCGGCAAAACTAAAGGAACACTTCTTGAAGCTGCATGGAGACGGGGAATACAAGAACACAACACTTGCTGAATTCAGGGTGAAGAGAGCCAGATTCGATGAAAGGGCCACTCTGCCTGCTCTTGGATTTGTACCTGTTAACAAACCGATCCTGACAGCATCGTACGAAGTTGCTTACCTGATCGCAAAGCAGGGCAAGCCACACACCATTGGTGAAACACTTGTGAAACCAGCTGCATTAAAGATGGCGAATCTGATACTCGGAACAGCGGCCGAAGGTAAATTATCCCAAATTCCCCTTTCAAATGACACCGTCAGTGACAGAATAGAAGACATGAGTAAAGACATCTTGGCTCAAGTAGTCGCGGATCTGATTTCAAGCCCGGCAAAATTCAGCCTTCAACTCGACGAAACCACAGACGTTTCTGATCTAAGCCAGCTTGCTGTTTTTGTACGCTATGTGAAAGACGACATGATAAAAGAAGAGTTTTTATTTTGTAAGCCTCTTACAACAACAACGAAGGCAGCCGATGTGAAGAAGCTTGTGGATGACTTCTTCAGAGACGACAATCTTTCATGGGATATGGTTTCTGCAGTTTGTACGGACGGAGCTCCAGTCATGCTGGGAAGAAAGTCTGGTTTTGGTGCGCTAGTAAAGGCCGATGCACCACACATCATTGTGACGCATTGTATTCTGCACAGGCATGCGTTGGCAACAAAAACCTTACCTCCAAAAATGGCAGAAGTATTAAAAACTGTGGTGGAATGTGTGAACTATGTGCGAAAAAGTGCTCTGAGGCACCGCATCTTCAGTGAGCTGTGTAAAGAAATGGGCTCTGAATTTGAGGTACTTCTGCTCCATTCTAATATTCGGTGGTTATCCCGGGGACAGGTGCTGAATCGTGTTTTTGCCATGCGTGTGGAATTAGCCCTGTTTTTGCAAGAGCACCAACACTGCCATGCAGATTGCTTCAAAAATCCTGAGTTCATTCTCATTTTAGCGTACATGGCTGATATATTCGCAGCTCTCAATCATCTCAATCAGCAGATGCAGGGTGGTGGAGTCAATATCATGGAAGCGGAAGAACACCTGAAGGCTTTTCAAAAAAAGCTACCGTTATGGAAACGACGAACAGAGAACAATAACTTCGCAAACTTCCCGCTTCTGGACGACTGTGCAAGTAAGATCGAAGATGTGTCTGGAATCGGAGATATTTCTGTATCCACGGAACTGAAGCAAACAATTGCCACGCACTTAGATGAGCTTGCAAAGTCTCTCGACGGATATTTCCCTACAAGAGAGTCATATCCAGCATGGGTGAGACAGCCGTTCACGTTTGCTGTTGAAACAGCAGATGTCAATGATGAATTCCTCGACGAAATCATTGAAATTCAGCAGAGCCAGGTTCAACAGCAACTCTTCAGAACAACAACGCTCTCAACGTTTTGGTGTCGACAAATGAACAAGTATCCAGTTATTGCTAAGAAAGCCCTGGATTTTTTTATACCATTTGTTACAACATATCTTTGTGAGCAATCCTTTTCGAGGATGCTGGACATAAAAACGAAGAAAAGGAACAGACTTTGCTGTGAAAATGACATGAGAGTGGCACTTGCCAAGGTGAAGCCACGCATATCTGAACTGATCTCTCAAAGGCAACAGCAGAAGTCACATTGATTTCCAGGTATGTAATTTGTTGTGAGTTTATGCATTGTGTTGGTTTTATTCTTTGAACAAGG